CTACTACAACAGACCACAGCAGTCATTCATTTTACTTCCCTAACTAAATATAAACTCGTCAAAGATACTGTGCAATTGATTTTGTCTCCCGCAAATGGATCGTTTCCATTATTACAAGTCCTTGTGATTCCTAAACCGGCAGGCCCAAGAAGATTTCTGACAGCATTGCATACGGCTAGCAATAAGATTGTCGTAGATCCTTTGTACATGCCCATCGCTACTTCACCCATGAGTCCAGGTCAAAAGTATAGCAATGGACATAAGAACGGATATGATAATGATTCAGAAAGCAATCCATTAGATCGCGAATTTGGTGATTCGCGAAATCCCTATTTTAATTCTGAATCTACATGTACTGGTAACAATAGATCAAGCCCTTCAATGCAAAATGGAAATAATTCTCGTTCTAATAGTGTTGCCGGAACTCCATTAAGTCCTCGAAGTGGACCTGGCGGAGGTTTATTGATAATACCAAAAACGATGTTATTTCCAAATAATCGAAATAAATCATCCGAATCTGGAACTGCGAATAACAATGGGGAATCAAATATCCAAAATCAGGCGTCACCTATGTCATCATCTCACCGAGTTGAATCGGTCTATGAGGAAAATATCATATCCACAGCTATACCACCTATCAATTCGCCTCCTCAGCAGTCACCGGGTAATACCCGGAGAATTACTAATGGTTCTACGGCTAAATCACCATCAAAAACCAATAAAGCGATCAAATTATCTGTAAATTCTGAAGACATTATTCCTCCGATTAATGTATTAATAGTGGAAGGTACGAGTAATTAATTTTTTAATAGATATTAATGATGTTTCAAAAGTAACGTCGATCATATTTTGTTTGTATTAGATAACCCTATCAATCAAGCTATATTGTCAGGATTTATGCGAAAAAAGAAAATCAAGTATGAATGTGTTAGTAACGGTCAGGAAGCAGTCGATAAATGGAAAAATGGACACTTCCACCTTGTTTTGGTAACTTTTATTTTTTTTATGTATGTAAAGCCAATTATGCTTACCTTAATAATAAGTGTTATTACAATTGTTATCAAAATTTTAGATGGACATCCAACTTCCTGTAATGGACGGAATCGAAGCAACGAAAGAGATACGACGTCTCGAAAAGATCCAAAAAATAGGAGTATTACCTTCGACACCACCTGCTGCATCATCACTTTCATCCTCGGCTACATCATCTGTAGCATCCACTCCTTTAGCCACTCCTATCGATAATCCACTCGCACAAAATACACCGTCACCAGTGATTCGTTCACCTGTAATTATTGTCGCATTAACTGCTTCATCGCTTCAATCTGATAGAAAGAATGCTTTAACAGCTGGCTGTAACGATTTTTTGACTAAACCCGTGAGTCTAGTATGGCTTGAAAAGAAGATTAAAGAATGGGGATGCATGCAAATATTGATTGATTTCGATGGTTGGAGAAGATGGAAGAAAACGGAAGACGAGATAAAACAAAAAGAAGTGGGACAAATGACGACTACGAAAAACATCAATTCACCTTCGACTAAACAAAGTTCTGCACTGACAACACCATCATCAGCAGCAATCTCGAATAATAAAAATAATAATATCAAAATCGCCACATCAAATTGGATTAATGTTAACAATAGTAATGATAAAATATGATTCTGGAGATAACCTACAGGCAATGCGGAAATACTGTACCTGAGGTTGTTGGGAATGCTAAGGCGATGATAATTACAGTACGTAATTAGACGTATAATTTATACTTGTAA